CCCCAAAACCCCAAAACCCCAAAACCCCAAAACCCCAAAACCCCTGAAGAGTTTGGTAAATTGAAACATTAATTGGAAGCCGACAGGCCAGCCTCAGAGCAAGGCCTAAGTAAATTTTACAAGTAATGAAATAATATATTTTTGAGATATTTCTTTGTATAATTTGCTATTTCTGAATGTATCCATCTCACTGAGTATGTTCGTACGAGCTATTATACGGTTTCAACTGAATTTTATACTCACTGAATTGTTTTTCATATTTCTCTTTGAGCTTTTTCTTATATCTTTCTCTCTCGCTCAGCTCTAGAGAATGGGATTAGGCCATTCAGTAAGAAGAGTTGTGTGGATGAGAGATTAGAATAGAACTGAAGAGACACTTACCTTGATCACTATTCATATCTCAGTCTTCTAAGTTAGCAGCTGTCTTTCTTGAAATCTTTAAATTTTGCATACGCTCTCTCACTAAAATTTATCAAACTTTGATCGTAAGTTAATTGAAACCTGTGCTTTCAAAAGTCACTATTTTGAATCAGCATGTTGCGGATCTGCTGTATCCGTACCTTTGTCTAAGTTCACAATTCTTGCAGCATCTAAACGCCTGCGGAAGTTGTGGTTTAAATCTTCAGGCGGCCTGTCATCATCCATGCTTCTGTCGCTACTGGCTCTGTAAACTCGTTTTGGTTTGTGGCCTATAAGGAATTATACGATCCTCCAGTTCGATTCTTGGTTGAAGCCCGCCAAAAGTGGCTAGTCAGGCTCTAGTTTATTTCGGAAGCAGGTAGGGTTACCTTCGATATCACCAAATTCACAGTCATCAAATCTCCTTCTCCTTTTGATGCTGAGTTTGTCGAACTTTTCTATACACAGATTAACAATCAGGCCTGGTGCTGCCAACAGAAGCCAAAACTGCAGACCTCCGGCTGTGGGACGAGTATGGCCCCTGCAAGCATCTTCGGAAACTTGTCAAGATTTTGGTAATATATTCTGAAATGCATAATTTTGAGAGCAATTCCGTACCCAAGACAAGTGTGATCTCTGGTCTTTGGTAAGTCTCGTCGAAGTCTTGTTCTACATCAGTGTTAGGCTACTGAGGTTGCAACTTAAAAGAGAAAAGTTTACCCTGCGCTGTAGACTCCATATTAATAATAATTCTATTTGTCTTACTTTTGTTGGGGTTTTGGGGTTTTGGGGTTTTGGGGTTTTGGGGTTTTGGGG